TATATGGTGTTTTTGGGGTGGTAATTATGCTAATCTCCTCTCGCGTGCACGAGCAGCTGGATAGAAAACGTGTAATTTACGCACGTTTCCTGAAGATAGAAGCGTTTGTTGAATCTGACGTGACATGTTCGTACGAACCCTTTGTACGAACAAAAGTAAGAGAAATTTAGGAGAAGAATACGAACATGTTCTTGCATGAGGCCCATTGTTCCTTCTGTCTCAGTCGCCGTGGTAAGACACTTCACCTGCTGGTGGTCAGAGAGGTCATTGGTCGGGTGGCGTGGGTGGATGGCAGCCCTGACTCTGTCAGTCTGCCCCAGGGCAGCTGTGACTACAATGTAGATTATCACCATTAGTGGGTGAATATGTGAACGGGTGAATGATTGAAGTGTAAAGCACCTTGGAGTCTGTAGGGACTTGGGAAAGCCCTCTTCAAGCCATTTAAAACAAAGGGTTAACCCCAAAGGTTTGATGCAACAAAAAGAACCACGTGGCCTTACTTTTTCCTACAGCTTTGGTCTTTTTCACTGGTCTCTTTGGCTCATCAGTTTGAGTGCAGAACCAAAGAGCGGGTCCGTTCTTCAGGGTGACCCAGCTGTTCACCTGGAGACCCTAGAGAAGAGCACATACAACATTTGGTCTGAAATCTGTACTTAAAATTAATCTGATCTACTAGCACAGAACTGAAAAACAAAGTTCTTATGTTCTAATGCTTCGGTGACTTCAGATAAAGACAACGTCAAACAGCCCAGCAGGACCTGGTTCAGCTCTGTGTTGTTGTGACTTTACTTTGTTTTGAATCAACCTTAAAGTTTGGTTACAGTGCAGCCAGGTCTAATGTTATTATAATCTCTGATACTACTTTTTCTTTAGTCTGAATAGATTTCTTCAGAGCCCGTTTGGTGACATGGAATAAAAAAAATTATCAAAAGCCCACGCGATAACTAATGTGGCCAGCAATGTGCTAATTTTGACCAGCCTTGAGAGACAGACATCATTGGAGTCAGATTATATAGTCTGCATTGTCTTTAACTGTTTAAATATGCACACATATTATTATTGCTGCTGTTGTTGTTGTTGTTATTATGTGTATGCCAATATAAATGGTTGTGTGTCGGGAAACTGATTTTTTACTGTGTTCCTGATTTGCAGCATAACTTCGACTCTTTCCGAAGCTGAGGTGCAGAGGGACAGGAGGCTGATTTGAAAGTTGAGCTTCAAAAAAAGAAAATAAATCTTTTTCGACAAATAGACAACTCCAGCTGTCATCTGAGACTTATAGCTGCAGCACATAAAGCTAAGAAACAGCTACCTCATGCTTAACATAAGGTGCTGACGTAGCAACGTCATTCATTCTATTAAAATCTAAATAAATTAGGTTAATTGAGACTTGTCCATGTAAACTATGAACAGTCTGCACAGAAATGACAACAATAATTATCGCGTGGGCACACGTTATTATCTTGTGGCCACATGATATATATTTTTTATTCCATGTCACCAGACAGGCTCCGCACATTTCTATAAAAACACATCAGGAACTACATAAATTAAATTGGAACTTATCCCTGCTGTGAAAGCATAACTCTGCCCCAAGGCAAATTTGAAAAATGCAAAGGAAGTGGGTAGTGCCAGGAAACAGTGAGGGGCACGGCCCCCTCCTGCTTCCCTTGCTGTGGGGGTGAGCAAGGAGGTGTGGCCAGGACGAGACCAAAATTTTTATTTATTTTTTTAAGATGAGAGAATGTGACAGCTAGCTTAATTTCACAAGTCAACATTCCTGAAAACATTTCTGAATGTTCTAATTAAATGACTTTGTAAAAAGTAAAGTTTCATGATATACATGCAAACTCCCATTTAAGTTGTTAAGGCATTAACAGGCAACAAACTGTTAAAATACGACTTTGTTCCAAAACAAACCTAGCCTGGCCCTTGCCTTCCTACGCAGTTCCGCTCAGTTCTAGTTTCGCTTCACTGCTCCAGCTAGGATTTCTCCCATAGATGAATTTCTTCAGGAGAATTTAGTTCGGGCCAATCAGAGAACAGAACATCGATTTTCTGCGCAGTGTCTGGTTAGAGTTTACTTTACCTGGGCCAATTAGCAAACATAAGGCAGAGTTTTGAACGACAATGTCGCTTTTCTGTGCACTGTTGGCTTGTGAGTTTAGCATTGGCAGCAGAGGAAGTGAATGAAGCCAGTCCGTGTTGATAAGGCTTCTAAATTAAATTAAATTTGTCTGACAAAGCATGCAGCACTCATTTACAGCTCGTTTGGCTCGGTACTTCTCTCCTCTCAGTAGGGTTGTTTACAGTACACAAGATTTAGCTTCTTAGCTTAGCCTCTTTCACAGTGGATCTGGCATACAAATACGTCACGGCCAACMGATCCAATGTTTAAAATGATTGGAGCAGTTTGAAGAACTGATCACTGACTTCCAGCTGACACCCACGTCTTTTTTTCATCACTGCCCCAACTGCGAGTGTCGCTCCGGTAATACACTTGTTCTTGTTTACCTAGTTTTGCAGGACATACGGCAGGGTGAGCCCCGCTGAGCTTCAACTCTCCACCTTTCATTCTTTCCTGATCGC